CCGAAACTCTGTGTCACAACCAGCCGAAACTCTGAGACACAACCAGCCGAAACTCTGTGTCACAACCAGCCGAAACTCTGTGTCACAACCAGCCGAAACTCTGTGTCACAACCAGCCGAAACTCTGTGTCACAACCAGCCGAAACTCTGTGTCACAACCAGCCGAAACTCTGTGTCACAACCAGCCGAAACTCTGTGTCACAACCAGCCGAAACTCTGTCACAACCAGCCGAAACGCTGAGACACAACCAGGCGAACCACAAAGACATCCCACAGAACATTTTTTTACACAAATAAATCTGCTTCGCTTTCGTGAATAGTTTATTTAAGCCTTTGTTTGTCGTGTTTGTGTTTGTTTCTAAAAGCAGAAAGTATAAATAATTCAACAGGTTGATTTTGGGGGAGAATATCGTAAGCTCACTAACAAAATTCACTTTTATTACTGTTTATTGATTAGTAGGGTTAGATATGAGTGGTTAACAGTCTTAAAACTTCGAGCTTGATCCAAGTATTTGTCAGATCTGGATGTGTCTGAAAAAAGAAAACTGAACATTTTCAGACTTTTTAAAAATAAAAATAAATTCTAAAAGTTGCTTCTATGGGCAGACTGTTTACTACATGTCCATTTTTGTGTCATCTCATTTTAAAACACTGAACTAAAAATATAAATAATTCTTAGTCGTAAGGAACCAGGATTAGTTTTTGATCTATTGATTTGAAAGGGGACAGTGCAGTTTAATAAAACACGTTATGTTAAAAACACCTAAATTATCCAAAATGTGTTTTTTCATATGTAGTCCCTTGGTCATACAAAAATATAAATACAACACAAATATACAATAAGAGCAAGAAATTAAACTAAACAAATCCTGACACAAAGAAAACAAATCTAAGGTTTATTTTAAATCCTGATGTTATTTAAACAAATATATCTTAACTGAGCAGACATGGGAGCAGGCCTGTGCGTAAAGATTTAAATCTTTTTATGAAGCAATAAATGAGATTTAGTTGAGTTGTAACGTAAACGGAGCTGTTGAACTGGTCGTTGGTTGTTTCCAGGTGCGTAACTACATCCGGGAGCACGGGCCGAGGCAGCGAGCCAACAGCACCAGGGAGGGCTGGAAGAGGAGCAGCCACAGCAGCGCCAGCACAGGTGGAGTGAGCAGCAGCAACGCCAGCATGGTCAGCTCGGCCAGCTCCTCCACCGGCTCCACGGCCTCCAACTCCGCTGCAGGCGGTCCGGCGTCGGCCTGCAGCGGCAGCAGTGTTGCCAACATCAGCAGAGCTCACAGCGACGGGAACCTGTCCAGTGCTGCTGAACGCATACGAGACTCTAAAGTAAGACGTGTGTGTTCACGTGTGTTTGTGTGATGACGTCACTCTTCTCCAGGCCCTCACCTCTGCTCCTCACCTTTCAGAAACGATCCAAGCAGCGGAAGCTCCAGCAGAAAGCCCTTCGCAAGCGGCAGCTGAAAGAGCAGCGACAGGCCCGCAAGGAGCGCCTGAGCGGCCTGTTCCTGAACGAGGAGGTGCTGTCGCTCCGCGTGACGGAGGAGGACGACCACGCCGATGATCTGGACATACTGATGTGACAGCAGTGAACGACTCAGTGCTCCCTCTACACCTCGTAGGCCTCGCTCGCCCTCACCCCTCTGCGCTAGCAAATAAACTCCTGTCCCAGTGTTGGCTCGGCTGGAGCTGCAGCTAACGCTCTACCTGCTAGTAGAGCTGCAGCTAACGCTCTACCTGCTAGTAGAGCTGCAGCTAACGCTCTACCTGCTAGTAGAGCTGCAGCTAACGCTCTACCTGCTAGTAGAGCTGCAGCTAACGCTCTACCTGCTAACATTCTACCTGCTAGTAGAGCTGCGTCAGCTACTTCCTGTAACCATGCTGCTCAGATTACAGCTGAGTCCAGCTGCCGAGGCTCAGATTAGAGCTGAGCCCGGCTGCCGAGGCTCAGATTAGAGCCGAGCCCAGCTGCTGAGGCTCAGATTAGAGCCGAGTCCGGCTGCCGATGCTCAGATTAGAGCCGAGTCCGGCTGCCGATGCTCAGATTAGAGCCGAGTCCGGCTGCCGATGCTCAGATTAGAGCCGAGTCCGGCTGCCGATGCTCAGATTAGAGCCGAGTCCGGCTGCCTAGGCTCAGATTGGGACTGAGTCCGGCTGCCGACGCTCGGATTAGAGCCGAGTCCGGCTGCCGACGCTCGGATTAGAGCCGAATCCAGCTGCCGACGCTCGGATTAGAGCCGAGTCCAGCTGCCGACGCTTGGATTAGAGCCGAGTCCGGCTGCCGACGCTTGGATTAGAGCCGATTCCGGCTGCCGACGCTCGGATTGGAGCCGAGTCCGGCTGCCGACGCTCGGATTGGAGCCGAGTCCGGCTGCCGACGCTCGGATTGGAGCCGAGTCCCGTTGCCGAGGCTCGGATTGGAGTCGAGTCCAGCTGCCGAGGCTCGGATTGGAGCCGAGTCCCGTTGCCGAGGCTCGGATTGGAGTCGAGTCCAGCTGCCGAGGCTCGGATTGGAGCCGAGTCCCGTTGCCGACGCTCGGATTGGAGCCGAGTCCAGCTGCCGAGGCTCGGATTGGAGCCGAGTCCAGCTGCCGAGGCTCGGATTGGAGCCGAGTCCAGCTG